ATTTTCAAGGCTGCGTTATGTCGGGTAAGATACTTGTTCTGTGCGAGGGCGGTACAACCAGCCAGGACATGAGCGACACTTTCCGGGGCCTTACCACATAACCTGCACCTCACCTCACCCGTTGTGTCTGTGTGCGTTTTCTGGCAGGCATACAACCTCGTCGGTAATAATTGTTCATAGAGTTCAAACATCTCCGTCACTGTATGTGTTGGGCACTGTTTCCAACTGCTTAGTCACCAGTAACATCCGTTGAAGTTAAGACTCTCGTTTTCTGTCCTCGCAGAGAGTAATTTCTCCTGCCAATTCTGCTCAGGCACCGTTTCCCATGTCTTCTCTTCCAAAACCCTTCTCAGCTCTACCTTCAGTTTCTCGGCTGTTATCACCTCTCCACTATCACGTTTTATGCAAGCTGGACTTGGGTATTCCAGCTGCAACCGGAGACCCATCTCGTCTGCATACCTTGTTGCCTCTTTAACTAACGAACTGTGTCCTAACTCTTCCGCTCTCTCTTCAAACTCACGAACCATCGCTATGGCTGGGTCGCTATTACTATGTAACTTCACTGCCGCCTTTATCTTCGTTACTTTGTACTCTTCCTCGATCGAACGCAGGCCTCTCCCTCCCTTCTCTCTTGGCAGGTATAAAATGGCAGTTGACCCGCTGGGATGTTTTCCACCATTCTCAACAATTATCTTGCGAGCTTCTCTATGCAACCTTTTAAGCTCTGTCACCGGCCACTGTTGTGTCCACATCAGGTAGCCCAACGCTGGTAATGCAAATTGGTTCGAGGCTCTTACACGATTATAATCAGACAAGGGACTTGACCAGATGAAAGACATTCTGCGAAGATACTCCTTGGCTGCGCCTTCCAACGACATCCTCTTCTCTTGCCTCGCCGTCTCCAAAACACCCAAGAACTTGTACTGGTTGCCCTCTTCAAGGTTGGAATACAGATATTCTCATCTACCCTTAGCCCCGTGGTATCATGGGTAGGGGTATATACCCCCCTCCGTGCATGAACGACCGCACACTTTTTGGGGTTCCAATGGAGTCCGACATCCTCCATTGCAGTCTTGCTTGATTCCATAACACGGCTTAGTTTACTTTCCGAAGACGCAAAGACCTTTAGATCGTCAATATACAGAAAATCTGTTACCTTTATACTAATTGGCTTAGATAGCTTATAGCCCTTACTGGCACTGATCTTCTACGCAATAGGATTCAAGCAAACCGTGAAGAGTCTGGGACAGAGAGCATCACCCTGGGGTCATTATTGTTTGTCGGACTACACCTATATCTTTCAATATTTCTGGCTCTTTAGAAGTGTTAGGTCAGAAGGTATAGAGTAAATTTTGCTTCATTCATTTAGAGGTTTACTTTAAAATAGAATGGAACATTGAAACAATTTTTTTTAAAGAGCTGCACAGGACCAAGACTGGTTGACATCGACGTGCATTAAGAAATTAAAGCTAAATTGTTGAAGCAGGGCATACCAAATATGAGAAAGATCTGAAATTTTTTAGGCTAAAAGCAAGCAAATTTAAACCGATAACCAATTGATCAAACCAAATCGAGTAAGTGAAAATGGCAACTTATCTGCAGTTCAATGGAATCACAGAACCCAAAATCAATTTCCTGTTTTAAAACTGAGGAAACTATAATTTATAAGTATTAAATTGGCGAATCTGGAAGGCTTTTTCCTCCACAGCGACCGGCTACCTCAACAAATGAACACATAGTACCGAGGAAGTTCAACTCAGTTTAACACCCGCCTCAAGATCATATGTGACTTCGATTTTTCTCTCTTGTCTTGTTCTATACGGTAAATCTCTTCCAGTCGATCCTAATATATCTGGAGTGGATTACGATAGCTGATGTCGAGGAATTGGATTTTAAAAGTTTTCCTGCAATCGTACTTTGAGTAAAATGGAAACCTAACTGCTTTAGTGCTGTCTATTATTCAGAGCCTTATTCCTCCAAGCTATTACAAACTTTGATAAAGGGGGTAAGAATCTAGATCTAAAGAAACTGTTTGCTGCGTCGGCGAGGAGGGAATAAAAGATAATTGTGATATTAAAGTGTAAATTGACCACCGTAAAGAGTTTCTAGATCAGGCGGTTCTACTGTTAGCCCCTCGTCAGAGTGAATGACAAACTTTGTTGGGGAAAAACAAAGACAATTTAATTTAATTTTTTTTTATTGTTACAGTAGCGTGTTGATCATGCCACGAAGGGAAAAAAAGCATTGACACTGCTGAAAGTTTTCTGGAATACTAGAAAAGCCAGTTAAGATTGGAGCTTCATTTCTACGCGTACTTCTTGGGTGGTTCGGGAATGCTTTCCTCGTCATGTAAATATACTCCACTCTGTCCCTCCATCTCTTTTGGAAATTATGTCGACATCGCTTCTCCTTTCTTCTTGAAAAATTGTCTTTTCGCTCATGGAAAGTGTCATTAAACAATTTTTCCGCGGTCACGCGTTGGATGTGAGTAGGCCATAACCCGAATCCATGTCCACCAAGTGCGGATGGAATGACTGATTAACATTTATTCAACAACTTTAAACAAAATTTTAAACTTATGATTCAATTTGTACAGGCTTGATAATTGTTAGTTGCGGATGAAGGGTAAATTGAAATGTTTACTTTTCAGTGCTCTCCGTTACGACTTTATTAACAAGCAAACATATCTCTTCTTTTTTAACAATAGCTAAACGCCCCAGGGCCAATATGAATATGGCCCCAGGGCCATATTCGATCACGAGATGCATTTAGACCAATCCCGCGCGGGCAATAAATATTTGATGGATTATAAGTGCGGCGTTATCGTTATCTACACTCATCTCCACCAAACAAAAAATTTACGGTGGAATCAAAATGCTCCAATTAGCGATTTCTCTGTAGTATTAACTTTAAAAACAAATGAAAACAATCGGACGCCGCAGGCTCAGTTAACGTTGTTGTCACAACAGTAAAAACCTTTCATATCAGTTTGTTATACACGGCCTGAAAAGAAAATATTTTGTTTACACTCGAAGCTTATGACCTAATAGCGATTGATTATGTCCGAGGGCTGAGGTTTATTAGCGCACGAAACTTATTTAACGCGTCCGAATTTATTTCTTAATATGGAGTTGTTTATCTTTTCAAAAAGATTACTGGATGCGTAATATGTAACTTTATCTCAATACTAATCGGAAATACTGATGAAATTGCACTTTTCAGACCACAAATTCGACCATAGTTTAAAGAACCGATCAAACATATTTATAAAAGGATGCAAACCGCAAAGTTATTATGAAAAGGGCTTTGCACGCTTCGGGAGTTCAATTTACGTTCAATTTAGTTTATTGTTATTCCTCAACACTCGAAAATACCATTACATTCAAACAACTAGTATTCAGTACTCCTTGAGTGGAGCAGAGCTAAACTCCTAACTTGTCGCCAATTGATGAAATTTAACATTTAACGTCATTTCTTTTGTAAGACCTTAATCTACCTTTGAGTTGATAAATTATTTGCCAGGGTAATGGAATTCATGTGAGAAAGCATTCAACCACCCTTTCCGCTCACTCTCTCTTTAACTCATCTCCCAAGCAACTTATACTGAGAGCCTCAACTTCGGTCCCAAAGTTGAACATGGTGACACGTACTAACATATATATTCATAATAGAGATCAAGGCGAAGAGTGCGAAGATCTGAGCATGATTAGTATCCTTATTAGCCGTCTTTAGGTGGGGAGCGAACATTCTAAGAAACAAACTGGCTGCTGACACCAACGAGTGGGTACTCAATAAAGGACATTCAACCTGTAGTTCAACAGCTTTATTTACATCGCGATAAATCATCCAAAAATTATGTGCAGTGAATGTGTCTGATCTTGTGGAGCTGGGTACGATTAATACCCTTATCAGCCGTCTATAGCTAGGGAGGGAATATTCTAAGAAACAAACTGGCTGCTGACACACAACGAGTGTACACCCAATAGAGGGCTGGTGGTATAAGAGCTTTATATACATCGCGATCGCCAACAAGCGTTCGCCACTTTCGAATATTCAGTTCTGTTCAGGACATATTAAAGGTGTAAAGGGCGACTGTTACTGTGCGGAAACTAGCTTACCTGTAACAAGTGTCCAACTTCAACATCATTTTCATAGCAGGTAACGGTAAGTTTGAGTGTCTTATTAATAATTTAGGCTATGTTGCATCAAGATGAGACGTCTTAACATGTTGGAAAGCAAAGCAGGAGGAAATAAAAACAAAAAGCTACGTTTGAAAGCTACAGACTGCTTCGCCATTAATGTTGTCAGTAATCGAAACATTTTGTTGTTTCCTGAAATGTAATTAAACTCCCCTGCCAGATATCATTTAAAAAGTAGAAAGAGATTTACTTATCGAGAGATTGAAAGACAAGAATACTTTTCGACACCTTAAGCAATAGCAAACAATAGATAGATAAATAAAATAGTGGCGTTTTAAAAATGACATGATTTTTCATTGATTGCCAAAGTCTTCTCGCTCGAAATGTCTTTCCACGTTCTTCACGAACAACAGCCATCCAGGTGTTTTCTGTAATTCTTCTATGCTGATCCCGTCGTCGTCTTCACTGGAGTCTGATTCCTTACGAAAAACAAAGAATGCTCGTGAACTTAATTTACTAATTTAAGATAATTGCGCTGATAATTCTGTTTTCCGGCAGAAGCTGCTTATTTCGACAATAAAGAGGAAACTAAAGCTCGATAGAATACGCAAAGTTTTTTAAACAAATCTACGACTCTTTCATTTACTGTCAAACTTGATTCAGATGAAAAACTAGTTGTTAGTCCTGAATGGGTCACCCATTTGATTTCACATAACAAGATGAACTCGCTAACTGTCTATGATCAAAATGACAGACTCGTGAACGACATTCGTCCATCGACGATCATTTTCGCGAATCACTCGCATTTTTTTTAGATATATAACCACTTGTTTATTGGTTTATTGCCATAACGATCAAGTAATTAAAGATCCAGCAACTTCACCCATTCAAAGCAAGTTTGCGTCATAACGGTTGTTCGTCGCATTTCCACAAAGATTTTATGCGAGAAATTGGCGTGCGGTTAGCTTATGTTGACCCAGTTTTGTCAATATATGTTGTTGTGGAAGTTTTGTCTAGCGGAAAAGGGAAGTTTAGCGCGCGTCTTCAAATATTGACGTTTATCACAACATTGAAAGAAAGTCGCTGGAACTATTAAAAGTTATCATTGAAAACAGTTCATTGATCGCTTGGGAAAAATATGACCTTTCGACTAAATGGTGGCTGATAGAGGGTACTCAAGTCAGCCTGTCTTAATCAGTTGTCAAGAAGTTGAGAATAAGCCATTCAGCTCTAACCCATATTTAGACAAAACCGCTGTGTAACAACAACTTTTTATGCTGGAAAAACAAATCATAATTTACGAAACTTGTCATGACATCTGCGAAATAGGTTTCATACAAGATCATTTCAAGAGTAAATTTGCAACTCAATGGAAATGGAATGTTTATTTAATCGCCAATAGCTTTCTGAATTTTGGCTAGAATTGAGCAAAATAAGCAAATATCAAGGCCCAAATCACATTTCTCCGAAATTATTTTAAAAACCAATACCCTTGTGCCCTCTATCTAAAGTTTTTAAGACTTTTTCGTTTAACTCACCTCGTCCTGATAGCCAACGGTAGCAATTACTTCATCTCGTTTGCAACTTTTCTCATCATTCTTTGGCTGTCCACCCTCAATAAAGAGTGAAAATTAAATGTTATCATGGTGAATCAGCTAGACAATTGTTATCTAAATCATCATGGTACGGCTACTTTCTTTAGGGGATCCTAAACTGCGATACTAAACTGCAATCATGAAGTGATTCTAACCACCACTTTGGACAATGGATTGCAGAAAAGTGCTAAGATTTCCACTTGGTAGCAATTGCTTTGTTTTTCGAACTCGTCCACGCCACTGGGAGTTTGAGTCACAAAATATTCAAAGAGTCAAACATTCGACTTATCCGTGAATTTTTCTGGTATCTAGAGGGATTTTAAACGGCAAAAAACCTCACTGAAATTAACAAATGTTAAACACCACAGCGTACACTATTGAGTTATGGATGCACGAAGTAGATTGCGAAGCGCTTATAAAGAATAGTAAGGGCCGCGCGAGGCAATAGTCGAGGGCGGCTTTAGCCTCTTGAGTGCTTAGCAAGCCTCCCAAGTGCATTCATAACCGTCAATATTGTACGCTGGGATGTTTTCCATTTGCTTTATGACATAACTTTCATACATTGTAGCGAGAGTTCTCTTTTATTTATTAAATCTTACGTGACCACAAAAGACCACAAAAGGGTGATTGTACTCTACCGAATTCCCTACTCTGCCGCCCATCCTGTCTCCATAAGCGTGTTTTTGGACGAGTTCCTGGACTCAGTATTTGATACCCGTTGTTATGTCCCCTGAGCCATTGTTGATCACTGGCGATTTTAATATCCCTGTGAATGTTCCCAATGATTCAGACGCCGCTCGTTTCCTGGAACTGCTGACCTCGATGGGCCTCGAGCAGCACGTCGACAAGCCTACGCACATTTCTGGACATACGCTGGATCTGATTATAACTCGATGCTCGGACTCTTTGCTCTATGCTAAGCCTATAGCTGATTATTTGTTGTCTGATCATATTA